TCCCCCAGCCTAATCAATTAGGTTCAGATACATGGGATAGACAAGAAGAATATTAGTTTAGTCTTGTCATACCAATCATCTAATCTAGTGTAATCACCACCTGCAGGGAGTGCCAATTGTTTCAACCTCTCTCATATAAAAATATATGCTAGCGGAAGTGCCCACTGCCGGCGTTAATTTTAAAAATAAAATAAAAATATTTTATTTTATTTAGCCTATGTTAACCCCAGGGTGCCCATAGGTTCTTTAAAATTGGTCAAGTGTGTTGTAGAAGGTCAGGGATCATTTGTTGTACTGTACCGGTTTGCGACTTAGTTAGTGTGTATATTGTGCCAGTTATTAAGGAAAGGAAAGTTAATTGCTGTTGCGTATACTCTGCGTACATATTGAAACCAGAGATGGAATTTAAAGAATTTGAGCCGCGGTTTAAATCCGCCAAAATCCGCCAAACCCGGTTTAAATTTAGCGCCGGCTAAAATCTTGAAACATTTGATACAATTTTAAGTGGAACCAACCATATTTAAGCCGCGGCTTAAATTTAAACCGCCGCTCAAATTCATTACATTCGGCCACTGTTCACATAATAGTTTTCTAAGACCAGAATATTTCATAGATTTTTTATGTGAAAGATGTATCCCATGTCAGGCTGTGACATCCGTCTTGTGTGTACTTTACCGCCCAGAGACAGTACACTGCAGCACTAAAACTGCGTACACCTCTGAAATACCTATCTTCACATTATAATTCTTTGGTACTGTGTATGTATACTGTACAACTTGCTGTAGTTGCCAAAGAGGCCAGTTCAGTTCTGTAAATAAATTGAAGTTGAGAGTGAAGTAGCGGGGCAGGAATCTTTCTCCCCAGCCTGGATAAATCTGACCATTCTTTACAACTTTTGTTTTACTTACTTACTTACTTACTTACTTACTTACTTACTTACTTACTTACTTACTTACAGTGTTAGGCGATTTTATCAATACAATGAAGACGACTTTTTAATGTTTGTTTTGATTGTTACAAGCATTTTTTCAAATTACAAGTTTACAGTAATCAGTATAAGAACCTTTTTAAATTGAAAGCTTCTCTTGACTTCAATGAGGGCCCATGCTGTACAACAGCATGATATAATTCTAAATTGAAATCTAAAGTCGTCTGCATTGTATTGAAATAATCGCCTACAACTGTGGATATACCTAAAATGTTGAGTGTATAGATTGGTACACATTGCGAAATATGTGTCACATCACTAATCAAAAACCTTTATTTAAATGATTAATCTTAATATAATCTGGATATTTAGAAATTATGATCATCAGGGTTACCCCAAAAAAATGAGACTTTAATGGCTAACTTAAACTTATGGAGATCACTGAAAAAGAAATGTATTATAACTTTATAAAATTGCTTTATTTCTTTGGATGGATTTTGATCACATGCTTGTTTGTCTAAACCTTGTCTTGGAATATGCATGTTCCTTTTTTTAATTATTTATTCCGTTCCATTCGTTCCCGTGCCTTTAAAAGAAGTATCGTTCCCGTAAAAGAACGATTGTTCCTGTAAAAGAAGTATCGTTCCCATAAAAGAACGATTGTTCCCGTAAAAGAAGTATCGTTCCCATAAAAGAACGATTGTTCCTGTAAAAGAAGTATTGTTCCCGTAAAAGAACAATTGTTCCTGTAAAAGAACGATTGTTTCTGTAAAAGAACGATTGTTCCTGTAAAAGAAGTATCATTCCCATAAAAGAACGATTGTTCCTGTAAAAGAAGTATCGTTCCCGTAAAAGAACAATTGTTCCTGTAAAAGAAGTATCGTTCCTGTAAAAGAAGTATCGTTCCTGTAAAAGAACGATCGTTTCTGTAAAATAATGATCGTTTCCCAATAACAACGCCCACCCTTAGAGCTCTGTGTGTTCCTACTTTTTATAATCCTTTATTTTGTTCTGTTTCGTTCCGTTCGTTCCCGTGAAAGAACGAACGTTACCCAGGAACGACACCCAGCCCTAACCTTGACTCCTCCATACTCATTTAAGTTGAGACAATTTTACTTTTAAACAGATTTAATTGACAGGTGACAGTTCTCTAGTCAAGTTCGGTGTTTGTTTACATTTTCAATGCGACCAAATGTCCAAGGGCTTGTCGGCGTTAATTTAAGTGGTACCATGCCCAATTCACAGCGGTACCTTTTAAACTTTTGTATGGGATAAAAACTTTCGTTTTCTATCTAAAGATTTATCATTCTCAATTGTGGTTTCGCCAAACGAGTGATTTGCAGAATTATGCACAGTTAAGGAAATAGCTACATTTTCTTTTCACTGATTGTTACTTACAGTAGGTCACTGTTGTGAATCTGAAATGTTACTGTTTAATGAAAGGTTCTTCTGAAATCACGTGGACACTCCTTTTACCAATTTATATTCCTTCTTTCTTTGAATATCTGTTAAGTGTTGATTGTGAGTCAAGTTTAAAGCTAAATAAGTGCAAATATATCAAGTGTCAAATCTATTAGAATAAATGTCAGTAAACATTCCTCAGCTTTCTCGGATTATTTGTTCCCATCGGACTTTTTTAAATACTTGAAAAATACTTTTGCCAGGATTTAGAAATAAAATATAGGTTACCGGTGATTTTTGAAAATCTAACTACATAAATGTTTCATGTTTAAAATTATATTAATTCCAATATAGACATTATAAAAAGTGATATTGTGAAAAAAACTGAAAATCATACAGACAAGGAAAATAAAGATATATAATATGTAGAAGTTTAATATTCTTTTGGCTCTGAAGTCTAAATAAAGAATATCTATCGAATTGAATTATCTAATGTTCGAAATTTAGAATTGGAATCATTCAACAAATGATTAAATTTTAAAATTTATGAATAGTATAGATATATACTAGAGCTGGGCGTCTTCCTTGTTCTATAACAAAGGCGTTCCACTAGATTGTTCGTTTCTTTTATTTTGTAGGTTATTTAGAACGCATTTTTCCCTAATAGACAGGTTATTTTCAACCAATAACCGTTCATTCCACGTTTTTTGTATAGATTGTTCCAATATTTATAAGAACGCGTTCTATGTGCTCATTCTTTTTTTTGGGAACAATGGAATCATTCTTGAAAGTTCCGTTCGTTCCTGTCAAAGAACCATCGTTCCTTAAGGATGACGCCCATCCCTTCTCTCAACTCTGAGTTCTAGTTAAATTTCTTAGAAAGAAAATCTATAAATTTCTAAATGTACATCCAAACAGTTCTGTTCAGTATCTATAAATTTCTAAATGTACTTCCAAACAGTTCTGTTCAGTATATATAAATTTCTAAATCTACTTCCAAGCAGTTCTGTTCAGTATCTGTAAATTTCTAAATGTACTTCCAAACAGTTCTGTTCAGAATCTACAAATTTCTAAATGTACTTTCAAACAGTTCTGTTCAGTTTCTATAAATTTCTAAATGTACTTCCAAACAGTTCTGTTCAGTATCTATAAATTTCTAAATGTACTTCCAAACAGTTCTGTTCAGTATCTATAAATTTCTAAATGTACTTTCAAACAGTTCTGTTCAGTTTCTATAAATTTCTAAATGTACTTCCAAGCAGTTCTGTTCAGTATCTGTAAATTTCTAAATGTACCTCCAAGCAGTTCTGTTCAGTATCTATAAATTTCAAAATATACTTCCAAACAGTTCTGTTCAAAATCTACAAATTTCTAAATATACTTCCAAACAGTTCTGTTCAGAATCTACAAATTTCTGTTTAGTATGACCTGTCATCAGAAGTTTTTTTGCTTTTTATAGGAAAACAAAAATGCCTGAATAAGAATGTTGTAAGGTTTATTTATATCCGTCTTCACCTCAATAAACTATATCCTTTGTTTCATCATCAGTTTTAATTGTTTTCTTGATTTGCAGATAAAGTTTCCTCCAGAGGTTTGATGAGGAACTAATGAGCCTATACTTCCTCACTTCCTGTTAAAACCTTGTGAAAAGTGAAAAGTGAAAATAAGAAATAAAATGAGGAGATAAACGGTAGAAAATGAAATCAAATTTTCCGAGTCAGCTGTTGCTCACGTGTCTCATCCTAGCGGCCAAATTAAACACTGTTCTTCTCGTAGAGCTTTATCATCAGGTAAATGTGCTGCTGCCCGTTCTCAGAATTTTCAAACAGAACTAAAAATAGCATGTTTGTATAGACTCTAGATGCCTAAAGTTTTTTTCCTCTATCAATTGACTATCTTCATTAGCTGAACTGACAAATAATGTGCATACAATTCTGTACGCAGAACACAAACTACAATTAGCTGTGCACAGAACACAAACTACAATTAGCTGTGCGCAGAACACAAACTACAATTACCTGTGCGCAGAACACAAACTACAATTCTGTACGCAGAACATAAACTACAATTCTGTACTCAGAACACAAACTAAAATTCTGTACTCAGAACACAAACTACAATTCTGTGCGCAGAACACAAACTACAATTCTGTACTCAGAACACAAACTACAATTCTGTACTCAGAACACAAACTACAATTCTGTACGCAGATCACAAACTACAATTCTGTACGCAGAATACAAACTACGAGTCTGTACTCAGAACACAAACTACAATTCTGTACCCAGAACACAAACTACAATTCTGTACGCAGAACACAAACTACAATTCTGTACGCAGAATACAAACTACGAGTCTGTACTCAGAACACAAACTACAATTCTGTACGCAGAACACAAACTACAATTCTGTACGCAGAACACAACCTACAATTCTGTACACACTACGCAGAACACAAACTAAAACAATGTTTTTAAATGAATTAAGTATTCTATCCTTTATGCAGTTGCAAGCATTTGATAAATAGTCTGCATAAAAACAGTGGACGTTACCCTTTCATGATTGGGGGGTAGGAAAGAAGTTTTATAACGATTATACGGTCGATAATAGTTGCGGTAACAGTCGTTAGCACTTGTTTTTTTTATGTCGTTAACCAACCTATCACTTCGTTTTCAAAATAGCGAAAGATTGCCTCAAAATCTAGTTTTCTTATCCAATCATATGACAAGGCTGATGAGGTAAAATTTTGATATTTCAAACTTTGACTTTTTGATTTTGATATTTTGAAATATTTACAATAGATTGCAAAATATAAGGAAGAAAAAATTAGAATTTGCTCATTTTGGGTGAAAATATGTAGATTTGAAATTCACGCAAAAGAATTTTCAAACATTGAAACTTTCCCTTCTTTGATTCTTGTTTTCCTGAATTAATGTAACCCTTTTATCTGAAACTGCGATCAAATTTAATTAATATTTATCTTTATTTAGATTAAAATAAACAAACCAAATAAATTAAGTTTGTAATATAAAAATGTAAAAATGAGCCAAAAAGGGGGTTGGTCAAGTTATATATTAGAATCTGTTTGTTTAGTATTATTGTTTATAGTTTCATTGAAAATGTCATACATGTTGATATGGTGATCAAACAATGCGCCTCATACAGATGAATAACGCCCATTTTACTCCAAAAAATATTGAAAATGTTTGACGTGGATTTAACGGTTCTGTCAATATTCCAGAAAGCTGTGACTCCCAGATTTTGTAATTACATCTGGGTAAGAATTTAAGTGATAGGAGACAAATCCATAACCTTCACATCACAAATGTTTGGGAATTGTTAGGATTATTTACAGAACTTAAAGGTTCAGTTTTCGTCATTTTTGCAAAGTAATTTAGTGTTGCCAATTATAAAATAATTGTAAAACAAAATGCTTGTACATTAAGAACTGGTGCAAGATGAAAATTCAGCTATTTTTTTCAGCATCCTAAACTATTAGCCTTTCTTTAAATTTTCTCCTGTCGTGGGAACCTTTTCTCTTAATTTCTAACATTCTATTTTATTCCCTTTTAAAATAAGTTTTGAAAAGGTTGAAATGTAAAATATTTTCAATTTATAGAAATATAATCTTTTGAAAACTTATCTTATATATCCAAATATCTTTAACCCTTTTAGCCTGGGCTGACGTATGGTTTACTGACTGGTTGTCTGGGGGGGGGGGCAAATTGAACCCCCCCCCCTCTATTTTCTTATTGTGATACAAATCTATAACATTTGATCAGGGGTCCATATAATTTCGTTTTCAATCCCATTTGGGAATGACAAATTTGAAAGAAATGGGGGCAAATTTTTTAAATGGGGGCAAAATCTTTTTTAATGATAATTTTAAAAAAATTTGGGGCATTTTTAGTGGTTGTGGAATTTGAAAATGTTTTTTAATTGGGTTTTTTTTTTTATAATTGGGATCAACTGTGTTAGTGAAATTTAAAATTTTATTTTAATCGGGGGCATTTTTTTCAAATTGGTGTTAATGGGAACAAATTTGTTAGTAGAATTTGAAAATGTTTTTTCAATTGGGGGCATTTTTTGTAATTGGGAGCATTTTTTTATAATTGGGGGCATTTTTTATAATCGGGGGCAAATGGGTGCAAATGTGTTAGTGGAATTTGAAATTTTATTATAATTGGGGGCATTTTTTTTAAATTGGGGGCAATGGGGGCAAATGTGTTAGTGGAATTTGAAAATGTTTTTTTAATTGGGGGCATTTTTTTACAATTGGGGGCATTTTTTTTAAGTTGGGGGCAAACAATTATTTCGGGATTGAGAAAATCAGCTATTTTGGAAATGATATGGACCCCTGCATTTGATACGTTTTTGGAAAGCTCTTGGGTTCTATCTCAATAATCTGCAAAACATGGCAAATTTGCACAAATCTAGATATCTTTTGCAAAATCTCGTTATGAAGCAAAAATGTGCAAAAAAAAATGCGCAAATTGAAACAAATTATACATTTTTGAAAAGCCCTTGACCCAGCGAATTCAAATTTGCAAAAACATTTGCCAAATTTTAAAACCTAAATAAGTATTCAAGAAAAACCGAAGATGTGAAAATTCCCTTTAAAGGCGTTTTTGCAAAAATCTGTGCAAAATTTCTTTGCAATAATTATGCAATCTGCTTCACTTTGTTATAGGCTTTCCAAAGAGCTATAAAATGTTGAAATCTAATGATTGAAAATAGGTGTAAAGTTCCTCGCAAAAATTGTGCATTCTACTTCCTTTTGTTTGTTCGATGCTTTCTAAAAACCTATAAATTATTAAAATCCAATGACTGGAAGTATAGGTCTAAATAAAGATTTAGTTTGCTGTAGGTGAAATAGGGCATTTTGACAGTATGCCTGAGGACTGAGGCAGTAGGTATAAAAGCCCAGATTTAAGCTTTAAGTGAGAGGAACGATAGGGGAGGGTAAAATTGACCCTCTCCCTCCCCCCAGGCCAAATAGGGTTAAATTTTGTAAAATTCTGTATTTTCAAAAATAATACTCTTTACACAGTTGTAAATATTAAATTCCAGTGTTTCAAAGTTTTATAAAGTATTTCCATTTTCTGGAAATTTGTCTGTCTATATTTTAAATATGTTATAACTAAATGGTAGACATACGAGTATAAAACAAAACCGCAGATCTCATAGACAAGAACAGAACGATAGTGTTGTAGTTTTTGGTTTACCATATAATGAGTCATTTCTTGTAACGAGAATACTCAAAGGGTCTGTAAACGTAATTTCAAGTGACCTGCCATGTATAGAGTGGCAAGTACAATTCACAACTGTACGTTTGATTGATCAAGAAAGCATAAATTAGCAATTATCTTCTTTTTGAAAATCAATTATTTTAGTTCCTTGCACATTTCTCCTTCAGATTCTGAGATTAAGTATTTCATGATAAAAGGTTTAAAGATGAGATAAAGGTTTAAAGATGAGATAAAGGTTTAAAGATGAGATAAAGGTTTAAAGATGAGATAAAGGTTTAAAGATGAGATAAAGGTTTAAAGATGAGATAAAGGTTTAAAGATGAGATAAAGGTTGAAAGATGAGATAAAGGTTGAAATATGAGATGTTACCGAATATATTTTCTTCTCTCAAACTTGAGAGGAAAATCAAAACTAGAAAAGCACAAAGTCATGTCAGTGATATCAATTGAATTTGCATTTCCTCCTGGTAAGTTTGTAGTGTCTGTCCTATCTCTGAACTTGTAGTAGCTGTCCTATCTCTAAAGTTGTAGTGTCTGTCCTATCTCTAAAGTTGTAGTGTCTGTCCTATCTCTAAAGTTGTAGTGGCTGTCCTATCTCTAAAGTTGTACTAGCTGTCCTATCTCTAAAGTTGTAGTATCTGTCCTATCTCTGAAGTTGTAGTATCTGTCCTATCTCTGAAATTGTAGTGTCTGTCCTATCTCTGAAGTTGTAGTATCTGACCTATCTCTGAAGTTGTAGTATCTGTCCTATCTCTGAAGTTGTAGTGTCTGTCCTATCTCTGAAGTTGTAGTGTCTGTCCTATCTCTAAAGTTGTACTGTCTGTCCTATCTCTAAAGTTGTTCTAGCTGTCTTTTCTTTAAAGTTGTAGTGGCTGTCCTATCTCTAAAGTTGTACTAGCTGTCCTATCTCTAAAGTTGTACTAGCTGTCCTATCTCTAAAGTTGTAGTGGCTGTCCTATCTCTAAAGTTGTACTAGCTGTCCTATCTCTGAAGTTGTACTGTCTGTCCTATCTCTGAAGTTGTACTATCTGTTCTTTCTCTGAAGTTGTACTGTCTTTCTTATCTCTAAAGTCCGTGGAAAACTGCCTGAAAAAGTTTGTTGGCGGATTAACCAAGTTTAATTGAGCCAGGAGGAAGATAGAAGAGTTTCAAGGGGAACAAGAAGTTTAACTTCTAATTCAATCAAACCTCTAATTGTATGGTTACATTTATAATTAACATACAGGGTTACCAACAAAGGATAAGACTCAGGGGCGTATTCCGGAATCTTTCCAGGGGGGGGGGCTTGAACTGTTTTCTTTCCATGGGAGGCTCAGCACCCGTTGGAGCCTGAAAACCCCCTGAAATCCATAATTTCTTTTGTCCAGGGGGGCACTTAGCCCCCACCCTAAATATGCCTCTGATAAGACTTCAATGCATTAACCCTATTCCTGCTGGGGGGCCCCTGTAGTTTTTTTTTACATAACTCTAAAAGTATTGGTCTGAGGCTGTTGAAATTTTCTGACTTTTCACCCCAGCTTATCCTGGTTTTCAAGTACCCCA